ATGAAGTACATATGATCTAACCTGTTCAAGAAAACACTTCAAAGTTCTGCATATATGAGCGTTGAAGACATTAGCATTTGATCTCTGTAAATATAGTGCTTTTACGTTACGTAGCCTAAAAAATAGATAAATAGATTACGATAGGTACCCCGAAGTGTTTTTGAGTGATTTGAGTTGCTAAGAAACCTAACCTCTCAAAATCAAAAGAAAAAGTGTCGTAAAGTCGAGAGGCAAAATAGGACTACTACTTATTAAAGTAGTAGGGCCAATGGTATTTTCTACAATCTAATGGCCTGAAGAAAGTTGTTCTTCAACACTTCTAAACCAATTGCTTACACCACTGGGTACAAGTATTTACAGATATAAACTACAGTTACCAGCAAAAGGAAGAAAAAAAGACTAAAAGCAAAACAATAACAAATTAAACTATGCAATTGTCTAGCAAACCAGAGCTTCACCGTCGGCGCTCCGACCAGATTAGAAACTTCAAACTACGTAGAGAGACCACTAGAGCAAAATAAAGTTGTATTGTTGTGAATATTTAAAATGTGGCACAATGGCTGCATAAAGAATGGAAAAAGTGCAAACTATGACTTATAAATGCACACACATGTATATGGCTCAATATTAAAGGCAACACCATAAGCCCTAAGTAAGCTACAATGCTTGAAAAAATCATTAAAATTTTTAAGCTTTGTTTTGTAAATATTATTAATATTTGTTTTAAGCTAAAGCTCTGACATCTGTATTGATAAAGGCATAAAATATGGTTACAAGACGTCCTGCGGGAAAAAAGTAAGAAAGCTTTTGAAAAAAGTTATTTATTTGTTATAAAAAATTTAGACCTTTAGCATCTTCAATTTTTCAAATCTTTCACTGAATTATTTTGCGAACCTCTTTCAAAATTATTTTTTATGTCTGAATTTATCACGAAAGTGTTGTAGCAAGGTAGTTTGCGCAATGATAAAAAACTTTGACATTTACTTAAATAATGTAAGAATGATTTACCAAGTTCAGAAAAATATATATTGTTCAAAATAAGTTTAGCATTTCTGATATTTTATTAGAAATAAATTGCGTATTAAATTTTTAATTAAATTAATTTTATTTTAATTGAATTACTTTTATTTTAATTGAATTACTTTAAAACTTTAATCAACATATACAGAATTTCGCCCCTAAAATAAAATTATTATGCGTTTTCGCTTTTAAATTATTATAAAAATGCTTAAGTCCTCGCTTTCGTGTCTCTCGCTCTCTCTATCATAAAATTTATTTTCTCCAGCATTCACTTATTATTTCTCTCTTCGTCAAGCAGTTACATATTTTTATACCAATTTCGTCATACGAAACTTCCTTCAAGGTTTGTCGTTAGCTTGGTAAAAATATTATATTTCACTTTAAATATCCTTTTACTGTTCAGTACAGCTGCCCGCAGGTGCTTGTCATAACAATATGAAACTTGACCAGGCAGCCATACACATGAACTAGTGCAACGGCACACATACACATATACACATACACCTGCTTGCACCTGCAAACAAAATTCCTTGTGAGAGCCACATAAACCCTTTTGCAGCCTTAGTTGATTGTAAAAGTGAAGCACTCATACGCCCTGTACGCCCCAAACGAACAAATGCAATGGGCGAAGAAAGTGTCGCAAACGTACGTATATTTGCATTTTCGTGAGTGTCGTGGAGCACAAAATATTAAAATTCATACGCATATTGGTGCTCAGTATATTTTGGTTTATATTTCTTTCTTTTTAATTGAGAAAAGTGGATACCCTTCGGTAGCAACTACAATACGGTTGTTGTTGCGTGTGTGTGTTGCTCAGGGTCTGATTTCTGCTACATACGAGGTTTGTTTAAAAAGTATCGCGAATTGGAATTACTTAAGAAAGTGTTTTTTAGTTATTAATGAATATTTATTTTGTAACCTTCAAAGTAATCAGCACTAGATATAATGCACTTACGCTATTAGATAAGTAGATATAGGTGGCCCGCGAATACTTTTTGAACAAACCACGTATTTGGTCAAGAACAACACATTAATAGTGCCGCAGCCACTAAATTCTCCAGATCTGAAACCCTCTGACTTATTATTTGTTCCCAAAATTGAAGCTGCCCATGAAAGGACGTCGCTGCGCTATTATTGAGTTAATAAATACTGCATCGAAGAAGTAGATAAACAAAAAAATACTTTTTTAAGTGCTTTGAGAATAGGAGTGATTACTTTGAAGTGAACAAAATAGATATTCATTGATAAATAAACAATTTCTTAAGAAATACAAAATTTTCCATGCTTTTTGAACAAACCTCGTACAAACATATTGTGCTCTACTTCAGTCACAGCTCAAAACGGATGCAGTAAAGTTTGCACGAATGGTGTTGTGTCCTTTTCTGTCACTGCCACACATACACATACACGTAGACACTGGCAACAGTGATATATGTGTATGGCAGTAAACGCATGACACTGTACGTTAACATAACAAACCGCAAGTAATAAAAATGAAAACATATACAAGTATATCTCTGGAATAAAGAAAAATTTTTGGCAGATATGAAAAATGTTGTAATCTCTTTACACCACATATCCTTGTCGACAAAACGGAAGCCGTGCTGGCCATGAAGTCAACGATTTCCGACTATGTTCATACATAACCTTGAGTCTCGGCGACATTTAACATTTTCGGCCATGCACACATGAATGAGGCACCACTCACATGTCCGCTTGCAACAGTATGTGGTCCCTGCTGCGGTGTCGGTCTCCTGCCTGCCTGCCGCATCAATGTGCTTACCTGCTTGTGCTCCATGTCCACTAAATGGGCGACAATTGTGCTGAGACTTTTGTGGTATCTTGATAGCGCAGCATTTGTTAAGCTTTCACTATCTACGNACACACTTGAACTGCAGCGTTAGTTCGTTAGATACACTGATGTGTTGCTGAGAGTGTCAGGGATCTGGTGCATATACGAGTATCCACTATTATTGCACTTAGCCGTTTACAGTTAGGCGTAAAATAGCATCGCACTGTAGTGATTTTTGTTGCGAGTTAAAAATAAAACTTTTATTGCAGAAAAAACTGAGAAATTAAAGACGGAATGACCAAGAGCTAGGTAATATATAAAAAGTGAGTAAATAATTTTAGTCAGGCTGAATTCTATTCTGAACTAGCTGACGCGATGAACTTTGCACGGCATAAAAAAGAATTGATTACGCCCAGACGAGTTTAATTTTTTTAAATTAGTTCTCATAGTTCTCGAATTCTAAATGAGAAGAAAGTTAAATTCATTATGCTTGTTTACGCATTGTTTTAATTATAAATTTCATCCTTGTAAGAACTTACACTTATTTCAGCTTTGTCTAATAAGGTCGTAATACTCGTTATAATCATAAAATGTTTAAAAATCAACTGTTTTTTACTAGTTATTTTCTTTTGCTTTAAAAAGAGCGTTAGATGGAGTTTCAATTTGAGAGATTAAAGGTATGTGTCAAGATCAGAAATAAAATGTTTGAGTTTCTAAAAGAGAAAAAGGTCTGATGCCAATTGTGGCGCATCACAGCACTCAGAGATTACTACTAATTATTTTTTTTTACCGAAAATAACAAATAAAGTTTCTTTAGTATTTCTAGCCCTGGATACATTTTCTATGAGAGCTTCTTATGCTTAGTAAGATGTGATAACAATAGGTATTCTAATCAGTCGCACCCCCGATTGGTTACGAGGACTACTTATTTATACAAAGTGACTACACGTTTGTACAAGACTAAGCGTTATATCACCTGGGGATANATACATACGTATATTGGCAATAAAAAGCCTTCAATACTGAGATGTTATATGGCTTGAGTATTTATAGAAGTATAATTAGAAATACTGTTTGAAAGAGCGAGTACTTGTCACAAGGTTTCTTTAATTGAATATTTTAATTTTTTTAATGTTGAGGAAAAGAAACTTGAGATTTTATAAGATTATAAAACCGCTATTGAGCGGAGTTCTAACAAATTTCGTTGAAGATTGCAACGAACATGCTTGGTGAATAAGAGAAAGAGAAAAAAAACTTTTTTTTGTCTGTTAAAGAGTTAAATCTCTTTTTTGGAAGTTCTTAACAAAACAATAAAATTTTCTAATGACCGTTCCAAGAGAGTATATCCATTTGAACAAATCAAACAATTCAAGCGTCAGTGAAGAATAATACAATAGTAAGAAAGAATGCCACACTAATGGACCAAAGAGCATCTTATACCCCTAAGTCTCCACATCTCCTGTGAAGGAAAGCAGAATACAGTAACACAAACTACTCGCATCTTAAATCAATTCCACTATTGTTTGATTAAAACAAGCCCAACCTTTTACCAACGCAAAACTGACCTTTCGGTCTTGCTGTTACCGTTACTTCATTAACGCAAATTGGATAATCACCCACAGTGTAAACGTAAGCCAAACATTTTAGGCATCTTTCAACACAGAGATATTCGAGTTAGAGACGTTTTTGTTTCACAATACAATGCATAACGGTAAACAATGCTACCAATATCAATGGCCAAGAGTCAGACTCTTCTGAGCAAGCAACTTGCTGTTTTCAGCTAGCTATTTGCCTGTGGGGATAATGCTTCAGCATTTGCCTGCGAAAGTATATTCTGGTATATTTTCGATATCGACACTCAGAATTCATGCACTACCCAAATGGATGTTTTACGTTGTCTCACTTTTCCTCTCTCTTTTTATTTTTCTCATAAAAGCATTGAGTGGCTAACATTGTTCTGAAAATTGGATAATTGCGTAGAATTTTTTTGAATGCTCGAGGAAAGGTGAAAATGTAGAAGATAGAAAGAAATTTCTTGGTTTTAAGAACTTTTTTTTAATGATTTTTTGAAATGCCGAAATACTTAATGAGACCTTATTATTCGACATTTTGATGAATGCTCTTCTTTTAAAATTCCTTGCAACATTTTCTTTAATTTACCGTTAATTCCTATTCATTCTTTACTTACCACCATATTATTTATTGTGAATTTTAGCTCGGCGCGTGGCCTTGACGGCGGTGTACTGCAATTTGCGCGCAACACGTCGCCCGGTTCGTAACGCGTATGCTCGGTAAAAAGTGTTGGCCGCTTCTCGGGTAATTCTGCAAAAGAAATTCGGTAAGTCAGACACATTTATAAACATAAATAAGTAAGTAGAAGCGCGCATTAAGCACGATTACACAAAGATTAAGCAAATGCAGATAAATGAAAAGCAGCGACATAGTACGCATACAAACTAGTGGCTAATTAAATTTCGATACCCTTTTAGAGACAATTCAATTTATGTTTTAATTGTCACATAAGTTATCCAAAAGTCAGACGGAGGAACTTACAAACTTAACCCTCATAAATTATCCTTTTAGCGAAGGCAAATGGCAAACAGAAAACAATTGTAGATATACATTGTATATAAAGATATAGAGTTACATACGCTTATATAATATAATAAATAACATAAGCCATATACTCGTATGTATACCTATGTCTTTCTCTTTTGCACTTATGGCTATAAGTTTTTAGACTCAGACAGTTTAGGTTCTGCGCGCACATGAGTGAAAATTGTCCCAAGTTTTTGCTGTAATTTAATTAAAAGTTGCAATCTTATTGTTGCGCCCATAAATAATTTAAGAAACTTTTTTAAAGCAGGAGACGGCAGTGATGGCGAAATTCTTTATACTTATTTCTACTATTTGGCATTCTCCTTCACTAATATTTAATCGCTCCGTTAAAATTAATATGAAACATGCATATAGTATATAAGAAATTCATAAATGAATTATATTAGGTAAAGTAAAAAGTTCGTTCGGTTTTTTACGCTCGATGTTGTCATAAGTGACCCAGTTTTCATCGCCAGACACAATCCGCTTCAGAAACGGGTCGATTTTGTTGCGATTCAGTAGCGATTCGCAGATGGAAATTCGGTCCATCATGTTATTTTGCGTTAGTTCGTGTGGCACCCAAACATCGAGCTTCTTTTTGAATCCAAGGTTATGCAAATGGTTACAAACGGTTTTCTGGCTTATCTTTAGTTCCTCAGCAATTAAATAAGTGCTCACGTGACGGTCTGTTTCCACTATTTTCATGATTTTATCGCAATTTTCGACGACAGGCCCCCCGACGCGTGGTGCATCTTTGACATCGAAATTACCGGAACGGAACCTAGCAAACCACCTTTGTGCTACACGTTCGTTTACAGTATTGGGTTCATAAACTAAATTAATTTTTTCAGTCGCTTTGGTTGCTTTTTCGCCTTGATCGAAGAAAATTTGTAAAATATAGCGAATTTTTTCTTTGTTGGTGTCCATCTTTGACGAGCGCTCACAACGTACTGAGTCAATCAATCGAAAAACTGTCAAAGACAAACTTTTAGCGCGAATAAACACGTTTTCAGCGCCGTATAGTATGACATGATGTAACACTAATACTATGGACAATAACGCCATCTCTTAGATAAAAACCGAACGAACTTTTTACTTTACCTAATATTTATAAGAAACAAAAAAAAAACGATAACTTACGTTGGAAAATTTAATATACCCCTATTTATACATCAGATTCAAGCTAGTAAAAATTCGTTTCTTTTAAAACTAAAACCCACTCTTTTACATGTAGTACACAAAAGCAACTACCGTAAATTTGGAGCTAACTGCTTTCTTTTGTAGAACATCTTCTATTATTTTCTTTGCCTAATTTTTGTGGTTCTTATTTGCTTAAACACCAGAACAGCTATTTTAGTCGAAACAGCACTCAAATATTATTAATTTTGGTTTTTTAATACAAACGTATTTCCTTACTCAGTTCATTCAAGCTTGTCGATATATATCTGCTTACACCTCACATATATGTTTATTTTATAAGCCGGACTGAAACAATTTTAATATTTCAGTTTAAAAATATTTACTTTGGGCAACCTTAGATTTACCAGAGTATGGAGAGTAACGAATCTAACACACAATCTAAACAAAGTGATATAATCATATAGAGACAGACTATAAAGCAGTTATAACAGTTTAATGGGATATCTACATGCTGGCAGTGAGCCTTTATCTTCCTTTTAACGGACAAAACCGCAACCATAATCATCTAGCAATCATAGCGCGGTCACAATTTGGTTAGGTCTCGTTTAAATGCTATCGATATCAATGTTAAGATCGAAAAAGAAAAAATAGAAGTTAGTCATTTGTTACATTTTATAGTTAACCACTAAACCACTGCTGAAACATAGTTCATAAAAAAATACTTCAAATTCACTTCAGAAAACACAAAAAAAAAGTTTGATATGAAGGTAACCACAAAATTTTTACAGAATATACTTTCTTTCGCGACCGATCGTTGTCATGATGGACAATTATTGCCTCGCGTCGATTAGCCAAATTCCGGACGTTTTTCAGAAATCGTTCGCATTGATTTCATAAGTTGTTTTAGAAGCTCATAATAGAGCACGCCCTTCTGATCAACCAAATACAGAGATACACCTTGGAGCAAGAGGCAGAATATGCTTTGCCGTGAATTTGGACAACCAGACAGGTTTCACATTTGATTTTTTTGCGCTTAAGGTTGTTATAATGAATCCACTTTTCATCACTAGTCACAATCGGATGCGAACACGATTTGTTTTTGTAGCTTATAAGCAGTATTTCTGACATTAAAAGTCGTCTTTCAACGCCTCTTGGCTTAATTTCAATTTTCTTGCTTTTAAATGTATGTGCTTGAGAGACTCCCAAATATTTTGGGATATCTTCTTGTGTTTGGCAGTAATTTTCATCGGGTAATGTTTGCAGTTCCTCATTTTCAAACTTTTTTGGCCGCTCAGAACGTTATTCGTCTCACAAGCTAAAATCGGTGCTTTTAAATCGTTCAAACCACTTTTGGCACGTTCGCTTAGCTAAAACATATTCACCATAAACTTCCGCCAATATTCGAAAACTTACGGTTGAGGCTTTCTTCATATTTAAGTAATGGAAAAGAATTACACGCAAAGATACGCACGAAGTTCGATATATTGTAGTTAATTGAAGAAATTAACATTGTAGTTTATGCTTCAAATGACAAAAGACTAGTTATAGATTCAATAGACCGAGGCGTTAAAGGCGTGCCACGTTACTAGAATCAAGGTCAAGGTATAGTGGACTAATCTGAAAAATTTCTTCAAATCTTATCGTGTTGCTATGAATAATAACACTTAAAAACGTTTTTCATACCAACATTTTATTCCGATTGTTCAGTTTGTATGGCAACTATATGCTATAATGACTCGATATCGGCGTTTCCAACAAATGAGCAGCTTATTGAGTAAAAAAGAAAATGTGCAAAATTTCAGATGGATATCTCAAAAAGTGAGAGACTAGTTCACCTTCATACAGACAGACAGACGGCCATGGCTAAATCGGCTCAGCTCATGATGCTGATCATTTATATACCATATACATATATACAATTGATAGGGTCTTCGACTTTTCCTTCTGAGCATTACAAACATCATGGTAAACTTAATATACCCTGTTCAACAAATATATACTCTCCACAAATAGGTAGAACTAAAGTTTTGAGTGAATGTTATCGGAGAAGTAAATGATCCTGAGCAACTACTACTTATATAAGCAGTATTAGAAATAAGACTTTTCCAAAAAAACGTATTACTTTATATTATTATAAGTATTACTTTACTATATTTACTATTACTTGAACCATAGTTGAACTCCAAGTACCTTAACCACATACCCCTCTAATATACATATAACATACATATGCTCATACCTCAGTCAAAATAGTTGTATCCTTATTCAATGTGGCATACTTAGCATACACATATACATCATAAATGCTTCCACACAAGTTTCCGTTGCTCACTATACGAAATAAGACTTAAGACTTACACTTCACTTGCACACATGCCTCTTCTAACCCCTTTCACCATAAAATTTTGAGAGTAACCATTTCATTCCGCATTATGAGTTGACGGCTTGAGAAGGAAAGAAAAACTTCGCACAACTTTGACGAACTTTTCGAGCATCTAACCGACCAATAAAACCAAACAGTTCCCCTTTGCCCGACTTCCGGGCTAACTGTGAACGCTCGTTGAGCTTCATGAGTCGACATCTTCAACTTTGCTGTGATATTTTTATAAGGCATCTACACCCAACTTTTTAATTAAGTCACCAAACAAAGTAACTAATGAAGAATATAATTTCCATGCCAAAGGCGGCGGCAAAAGCCACCCACATACCCACCTACCAATGTAGCTTAGCGTTTAAATGTGTGTGCGTGTGGTATATACAGCTATGTATTATATATAAACATGATGTTGGCAAATACTTTGACAATGCAAACTACAACTATGCTTTGAGTGTTGGCAAAATACTTGCAGAGAAATTACTCAACACTCACACACATATGGTGTATGTATGTATATATGTACATGTGGATAAGTAAGTGTGCGTAGTTGCACTTGTGAGCGTTTAGCTGACCCGAGGTCAAAAATCATTTGCCACAACTTTGGTCTTGCGCCGGTCGGGCAAATTAAAATCAAATTCATTGTTTCGCCGAGAGGTCAGGAGCGCGTCGTCAGTGTACTTTATGGGCGTGTTTTGGCGTTTAGCAGCGCATCAAAGTGAAAGCCGTTTTGACCTTTTCTTCAGGCGTTGCTTGCTGGTCAGAACAAAACTAATCTTTGTTTTTTTTTTGTTGAGCTCTCTGTTGTTGGCGTATTCTTTTGGTGATTTCTCTTTGGTGTAGTTGTTGTTGTTTGCTGGCCCTTTTTAAAGAGGGTCACTGACAACCTTTCAAGTTTAATTTTAAGCAGCTTTTGTTGGCACTTTCCACGCGCTTGGCTTGCTGCTTGCTGCCAAAGTTCGAAGAGGCGGGAAGTCAAGTATTTTTTTTTTAACTTGCTATTTTTGTTCTTTTTTTTTTGTTTGGCGTATTTTCTTATTCACTTTTCTTGATATGCAAATCACCTTATGGCATAAAGAGTTTAAAGTATTTAGGTCGGCGGCATATGCCAAATTATACGTACTAACTAACGGTGCACTAATATTAAATTTGAGAACGTAATAATAGCGCTGAATCGGGAGACTTATTCGGAGGTTGCGAATAGCGAGTG